TGAATCCGTACTTAATCTCAATGATGTCCCCGGGAAGGGCTACCGACACCACCGACTCGTAGTTTGCAAACTTTGTGTCACTTTTGCCGTACTTTCTGTGTCCGCACGTATTGATACAAACGGCAACCTTTTTGCGTAACTTTTTGGTCACATTTGAACCCATGGTTTGTGGTATTGGTTGTGGAAATGAATAGCGATTTGTCGTGAATAATGAAAATCACTGCAAATTACGAAAAACCTTTTATTTTCCACATATTATGCGAATAAATCGTATAATGATTTGACACTAAATTACTGGTTATTAGTCTATTTCCATGAGTTAAGAGTTTGTAATTTTCAATACAACAGCACTTATTATATACTACTTGTTGTCAAGAAATATATGAAAATTAATGTGTATTTTAATATCAAATACGGATTTATCAGTAGATTTCTCACTAAATAATCACTTTTGAATAAAATTCAAAGTGTAAAACAAAATACACTTTTAATGCACTCGCAGATGATTACTGTATAAACACGAGTCAAAAATGTAGGGAAAAATATTTTTGCAAACCATAAGTGAGTTTCCGAAAGACAATCACAACAATTACTACAAAATAAATCGTAAGTGAATAAAAACTACCGGTGCTGTTGAGTTAAACACCTGTATATACACCGCATATTTGTGTGCGAATAACTAACCTAATTATCAATCAATTGTTTTCGCACTATCCATATATAAACTGAATGCTACATTACTTTTCAATTATATTCACAATAGGAATACAGTGTATAATTGTGTGACTAATATAGCGATATATAATTGTAATGAATAAAAATGTCTTGACTTTGAAGTTAGTGTTATTTTATAGATAAGACTTACGATACAGAAAAAACATACTTTTACTCAAATAATAGTTTATATATGACTGAAAAAATTAATCCCTTTTGCGATATGAATATAAAAACAAAACTAAAAACACAGAAATTATCGCAAATGATAAAATTCCGGCACAAACCACAGGGTCGCCCAACTGGGAGCCTATGACTACCCCATGATTTACATACGAAAAGTCTATTTATAAGTTTATTTTACTTAATACATGCGACAGAAAATGTACATTTGATTAAAAGTTTGCGTGACTTTCCTAATTGACATCTCTCTACCCAAATGGATATGTTTTTAATTCATAGATACGGCAATTAAAAGTCCATTTCCACACCACAACTCTATCGCCTCATCCCTGTGCCCCTAAAAATCTGTACATTTGATTTTGACATCAATAATCAAATGTCAATATTTAATCAGAAAACAAAAACTAAAAGTCATAAAAGTCATACCGAGAAATAACATGTTTGTGTTTGATGTCAAACATGTCAAAACTTACCTGTCATTTACAAATGCAATGAAAAACAATTCAATAGTTAACAGCCGTTTCCGAGTACTTTTACTGTAAAAGATTTACACACCGTATAAATACCATACATAATGTAAAACAAATGATCCTGAATAATTCGCAGAATTCTTGAAACATATATAATATTATACTAATTTTATTTGACAAACAATTAACATTGTTCCGGGAATAATTAGTTTAGAATTTTGTTTTATTTACCAGGAATTAATAAACTAGGTCTTTACTTACTAATTACAATATAATTATTCATAAACTTCTACAAATAATTATTTTATAATAATTACATTTAACCTATTTGTAATATCACTGCAACTTCCAATAATCTACAAAACTTACAACAAATAAAAAATATCTCTAATTAAAGAATATTCTGCACAAAAAACTATACAAATAATTAATACAATAATGCTTTCAATGGTAGGAATACTCAGTTCAGGTGACATTCCGGGAGCAGTGGAATGACAATCGACTCCAGTTTGACGACATGCAGGGAAAGATCCAGTACCTGGTGCTCACTGACCCCAACCGCATCTGGAAACCCGACCTATTCTTCAGCAATGAAAAGAAGGGTCACTTTCACGAGATAATTATGCCAAACGTGTTGCTCCGTATATACCCCAATGGGAACGTCCTGTTTTCCATACGTATCTCATTAGGTAACAGTCATTTAGTTGGAAGTTTGGTACTAGTATATTAATTTAAAATATTTTTTTATCTACCATTCCCTACGGAAACAGTACTTTCGTGTCCAATGGATCTCAAATACTACCCGTTAGACAGACAGACCTGTTCAATACAAATGGCCAGTTGTGAGTATATACAGTATAAGATTTTAGATAATTGATTACCTTTTTGGTTATAATTTTTATGATAATTCCCTATCAGATGGTTATACAACCGATGACTTGGTGTTCATGTGGAAAGAGGGTGATCCCGTACAGGTGACCAAAAATCTTAATTTGCCACGATTTACGTTACAAAAATATCTGACAAAATACTGCACCAGTAGGACTAATACAGGTACAGTATATCACAATTATTTTTTGTACTTTTATAACAAAAATATATATAACTTAACATCACATTAAAATTACAAAATATTTACACTACAAACTCATACAGTAGTAGAAATAAAATTGTTATAATAATTTAATTACAAAAAAAATCAATAACCAATTTAAAAAGATACTTATGAAAGCAATAGCTTACACCCTATTACAATAAAGTATAATGAACAAATATTTATAGTAAAAACCAATATTCTAAATGCAGTAGTTTGATAATTATAACACAATTTAAATTAATACATGCCTGAATTTAATACACACTTATATAAAACTAAAATTTTACAAATAAATTGACCACTATTACCGTATAATTCACATTCACATAACCAGGTGAATACAGTTGTCTAAAAGTGGACCTGCTATTCAAGCGGGAGTTCAGCTACTACCTGATCCAGATCTACATCCCGTGTACCATGCTCATATTCGTATCGTGGGTGTCATTCTGGTTGGACCCTAACGCCACGGTGGCCCGGGTGTCGCTCGGGGTCACTACCCTCCTATCGATGGCCACCCAAATCTCGGGCATCAACGCCTCCCAACCCCCTGTCAGCTACACGAAGGCCATCGACGTGTGGACGGGCGTGTGTCTAACGTTTGTATTCGGGGCCCTATTGGAGTTTGCCCTGGTCAATTACGCCTCCCGGAGCGACGTGCACCAGCAGGCGGCCAAACAACAGCAACAAATACAGCAACGACAGGCCAAATGGAGTTTAGAGCAGTCGACCATCGAGGCTGGAGGTGCCCACGTCGATGAGGCCAACTACGGACTGGTAGGTGTCGAGTGCGCCTGTAGTTTTATAACTAGTTGTGACATTTTTTTCCTATTAAATTACTACAGTATCACACTGTAGTGGTCTTTAATAATAAATAAAGTGTTGGCGTTAGAGTGTTATTAATAAATTATAGTTGAGCTAGCTAATTCTGAATATAGTGAATTGAATTTGTTAGTGAACCATTAATTAATTGCTTAATTAGTACTAGTATAGTATTTATTATTGTAAATCAATCTAGTATTTTTGTTAAAAATACCGGAAAATTTATATTTCATAGATAACGATAAAAGTATTTAACGAAAATAAGCCACAGACTAATATTACCTTTGTAATTATAGTAAATTAAATTTATATCACAAATATCCCCTACCGTAGTTCACTGTATTCAACTAAATTACTATTACTATATAAACATTTGCCATTTATTTACAAAACAATTATTGCTTAAGAAAATATGTTTAAATGATTTACTGTTAACCCGTATATTCCCGCACCTCATAGCGAGGCGATGGCTACCGTTCCTGTGAAATACACGCCAAACCCCACAGACGCAAGAACTGGTGTAAGCGATGGCTCTCGAAATTCCCGACCCGTTCCAAGCGAATCGATGTCATCTCCAGAATATTCTTCCCCTTTATGTTCGCGTTATTCAATTTGGTGTATTGGACCACCTATTTGTTCCGGGACGACCTACAAACTCAAATCAAATAGTACCCTATCTCTACCTCTATATACAGTACAGTAGTCCTCACTGTATAATACATACGAATTATACAAACCTTGCCACTTATTATTTATTCTGTTATTTTCTATTTAAGTTATTTAATTGTTATGGTATTTATTTTTATTGTAAACTACCCTGGTAAATCTCTCGCTATGCATACGATATATCGTATAGTGTACCACCAGAAATTAACAATACTTTAATATATTATAGTAGAGCTGTTAGCGTACACTATTAGCGGGGATAATTATTTATAATAGTTGTATTCAATACTCATATAATGTATAATTTATGAGACGTTACCATAAGTTGTTGTATACTATTGGGTATATAAAAGGCTTTATAAAAGCGAAAGTTTTACTATTATTAGTATTATTATGTATTATAATTATATTAGTATTGGTTTTCATTTCTAAATGTATTTAATGTTATAATTGAAGGAATTTTTCTCTAATTTTTTTGAAATGATTTTTATTTTGTGTGAAGTTTTTATAAATATAATTATTACTGAAATAATCATAATATGAATCAAATAAAAGCAAAATAATACTGTTTTATAGTTTAGAGATATTTATTATTTATTACCGAAAACAACAGAAACAAATGTATAATAAACTGAAAATTTTCAAAACTAATTAATACTCAAAACGTTAAATAAAAAACATTTTAAGTTTAAATCGATATTTAATTATTTATAATAACTACTATAAAAATCAATTTTAAACTACTATAACGGCTAAAATAGTTTCAGGGTTACTTTTTGGTTCATCATGAATTACTGATATGGTAACTAAATGATCCAGATGCAAATTATGAGCAATATAAAACTAATTTAACTAAAAATGTGATGTAAATTAAAGTTTGTCAAGTTTTTTGGACAAAACTTACAAAAACACGTATAAAAATCGTAACGTTATCTACGAGTTGCCCTCAACAAAGTGAGCACACATTTAACACACTCTAAACCACAGCCAAAGTACAGGTGACGTCACACTCGGCTATGCATTCAAATAGGGTTGAGGTATGCGTTCACATAAGCATACGATACGTATGACTCATATATAACTCGCGATTCATAGGAAAACAATACCCAAAACACACATTCAGTGTTCAATCGGCTATTGATTGCATTCATCAATGAATTAGTGATCGGTTTTTGTCAATCAAATCACGGCTTAAGTAGTAATTAAACCGTAAAATACAGACAACTTTTGGTGAACAACACTATCCATACAAATGGCTAACAATGACAGCAACGAGGAGTTCGTTGATAGCGACGTGAGTATGCCGTGTAGTGTACACCAAAAATTACCCTGGTATTACAGTTACATAAGACCCTGTTATCAGTTTCTACAATCTATTGTCGCTATAATACACCTTTTAATACATTATATACTAGTTATAAGTTATGTACACTATGACCATACATGAATTATACACTATTACATACCGTTTCCCTACTTACCAGTTCACTAACACCGGTTATAACCCCACAAAACACAATTACCATGGTAATCTCACCACCCAGATCACTATAACACGTGACTTACTCCCCCATAAACCCCTAAAAACTTATTAAAACAAAAACTAATTTTCTGATCACTCATACCCTCCCCGCTCACAGAAACGCAAACCCCCGGGAACTACACCTAAACGGCGTGCCTCGGCGGACAACCCCAAGTCGGGCACCGGCGCTCTAACCCCGGGAGGGGTCGGTAGTGCGGGTGGAAAGCGTGCCAAACGTGGTAAACAGATGCGAGACGCGAACGCCCCCCGACAGCCCCTCAATGGGTACGTGCGGTACCTGAACAGCAACCGGGAGAGGGCTAAGGGGGCGAACCCTAACCTCTCGTTCGCCGACATCACCAAACTGTTGGCCGCCGAGTGGATGGCATTGCCCGACGAGGGGAAGCGCCAGTATCTCGACGAGGCCGAGAGGGCTAAGGAGGCCTACCAGAGGGAACTGGAGGAGTATCAGCGCACGGATGCCTACCAGGAGTTCCAGCAGA